TTATTTAAACTTGTATGTATAATTTATTTCACTTAAGATTATGCTCTTAAAGTGCATCCATTTATCTAAAAATCCCTCAAGTTTATCCTTATGGCAGAGTAGTACTCCATTCTATATAAATACCTCATTTTCTCTATCCATTAATCTATTTCTGGGCATATGAGCTGTTTACACAACGATTTATGCATAACCATGTTTATAGTAGCACAATTTATAGTATCTAAGTCTTGGGAAACAACCCATGAGACTACCTATTTTCAATTAAATTCCTCATAATAAATCTTTAAATGTAGTAAACTCTGTGAATATTCATTATTCATATAACAAATACATACTGATTGCCTATTAACTTCCAAGAACTATTTTCGGAGCACCAAGGAGCAAAACAAACGAATACACAATTGCTCTAGGTGAAATTAGGGCAACTTTTTTCTGGGGAGTATGGAAATTGTTAGGAGGAAATCCTGTAGTTTTTAGGTTATCCACTAGGTGGCAAAGGGTGTAAAACTGACTGCATACTGTACAGCAAAATTTGGTCCGAAGAACAGTGGGAATCTATGAAAGTCTCCACCATATTTTGCCACAAATGTCTCTTTTCGAGTGCTACAGTTATTGGTGAATGGTCAGAATACATCTTGTACTCAATTTTACAAAACATCCCTTGCTAAGGGTTCAACTCTTCTAGGAAAGGAGAGAGCCAGCTGTGTTCCTCTGAGGTCCATCTATAAGATCCCCAAGCTTATCTTAAAGACTTTTTCCTGTCTTCCTCCCCATATTTCTCTGTGCCCCAGATGTAGAGATCATAGAAATCTGACCAAGGGTATGAACATCTGGTGTTGTATAGGGCCCAAAAAGCCTAGTGTCAATTTTATTCAAATTTACCTAGATCCATTTAAGTATCACACTTTGGTTAGTTAACTCTGGGGGCAGGGTGAGTAGTGTCCCAAACACTAACTTCTCACACTAACAACCATGAGGACAAGGGGCCAAATACATACACCAGTAGAGAATACGTGTCGTCATGTCTGCATTTTGTTATCAGAGACTTTAATTGGGATCTCGTCTTTACACTGAAGAACAAAAATTACTTCATTTAGTCAGACATCCTCTTTCAAACAGAATGGAGATATTCTTCCCAAATGAGATTAGGCCCTTATTGATTTTAGATCTCCCAAACAGATTTTTTAAAGAAAAATCTCTTCTTTGATAAATGGTTTCTTTTATATCAAATATAGAAATATTTGCAAAGTCACCTAAATGGAGTGTTTAAGATCTTCCTCTGCTTATTTACTATATGAAGTAAGGATCTTTGTTTCTATAAGAATGTTCTTTAAATATAAAAGTGAGATGTTACAGATGAATGTTGCTCTATGTGCAGATGTTATCTTCAAGTTGGTGTGCATTTTTCCTAGGGACACAACTAGTAGGATATTAACATTTTAACGTATATATATATTTTTTCCTACATACTCATTTTAACTGATACATTTGAAGTGTATGGATCATAGCACAATAAGTTGGCTTGTAAGTTTGGCTGTGGGTTTTGACAACATTTGTGAATTACGAAAAGGAATTTGTTTTATATATAAGCAACTGGAAATGCAGCTCAGGTTTTTCTAATAGATATGGTTTCCTGAAAGTTGTCAGAGTATGAGGGTAACTATTGTTTGAAGGAAAGAGAAGATATTTATGTAAAGCTCAGTCAATTCTATACATAAGCAGACACCTATTTTATCTGCTCTTCTTGGCTCAGAACCCTACATAGTTGAATTAATAACCAAGTATTAATAATTATGACTTATTTCACAGAGAAATTATTTGTATAAAATTTACTTATAGATCTTACTGTAGTCAAGGCAACAGTATGGTATTACTAGTGAAAAATCCGTTCTTACTCATGATTTTAACTTTAAAGCAGTGTTAGGGCTGGGAGTACAGCTCAATGGTGAAACACTTGTGTAGCATGCGTGGGGCCTGGTGCCGTCCTCAGCACTGGGGTAGGGAGATGTTCCCTGCAGTTAGTCTGAACAAATGGGACTATTCCAGGGTGTTCAAATACCTAAAGGGTTCGTAAATTGAAGAAGGCAGCTATTGTCCATCCCCACTGTTGGCAAAATAAGAAAAAAACCTAAGTCCTAAAGAGACTTAGGGACTCTTATATATTTTTTTAAGCAGAAAAATGTTTTAAGAAGTAAGATTATAATAATAGAATAGATTATATTTGCAACTCATGGAATCTCCCTCTTGAGGTTTTTTGTTTGTTTTTGCCTTTGGATATAATTATTATGTAAGCATGTACTTTTAGCTTGGTTCAACCAAGCATGCAATGTTTGAGTCATTTTTAAAAGAGAATTGAGGGCTATGGGCCATTACAATGTTATTGGTGATGGTATGACTTCATCACAAGGTATAAACATGACCTGAAAGTAAACAACCCATGAAGAGAACCTTAGGAAAATATCTAGTGTATTACAGATCACTGTTACCATAGACAAAAAAATGGCAGTTGTTCTTAGAAATTCCATCACAGAACACTAAAAAATATCTTTAGGCAAGAACAGGATCTTCTTCATCCATAATTTTTAGGTAGAAAGTATTTTAAAATTCAGTATTTTCCTTATCCATAAAGCACTTGCTAAACCAACAGATACTTTAAGGAACATGTTAAAAGAGATATCATATCTTCACAACTAACTTCTTGAGTATTTCATTTAACTTTTTGCAGAATATAATAGCCCAAAGTTCAGTAGCAAATATTGTAACATAACAAGTAAACACAGTGTGGAAGAATAGAAAGCACAGGGCCGGGGATTTAGCTCAGTGGCTCTGCCGCCTGCCTTGCAAGCACAAGGTCCAGAGTTTGATCCCCGGGACCAAAAAAAAAAAAGAATAGAAAGCACAAATACTAATAATCACATGAGGCTATAGCTCAGTGGTAATTTGCTTTCTTCGAATGCACAAGGCCATAGGTTCATTTAATCCCCTAGAAATACACACAACAAAATAGTGGTAATCATAAGATATATAATAAATAGTTGAAATAAAATCCTCTTAGTTTTTTGACCAAGAAAGTTAATACTGTACTACATGCCACTGTAAACATAAGATCTCTTACATTTTTGTGCTTGCTTTTTCTTCTGTTGAACTAGTCTCAATACTGCTCTTGTAACTGATATTACAATATCACAGTTTTCATGACACATCACCACAAGCACATTCACTTATAAGAAAATAAGCCACCTGTCATAAGCTCACAGAGTGGAAAATTGCAGTGTGCTCAGGTTTGTGTACTAAGTTTTGAGAGGGATTCAGTTGATTACCAAGTCTGTCCCAGGAATAAATAAAATCACATTTATCTCAGAGTATAGTTGTGCAGGCTAAAGAGTGAAAGAATAAAATCTCTTAGCAGAATAACTATAATTAAAGAGTAAGATACAGTTTGGCTATAATTTTGGTTTTATTATCATTACCAATTTTTACAATTTTTTTCAGAAATTTCTAACAGTCAAATCCTTATGGAATTGATCAAACTGCAAAACGAGCTCCCTTACAGGAAACCTGAGTTACATAATACACTTCCAAGATGCTGAAAGAGAATTTCCTCCCAAGGCCAGGGCTCTGCTATGAGCACAGTACAAATATTCCTGGCTTAACAAGATGGTTTTTATCATGGATGCCAACTGGAAAATAATTTAGGGATGTTTTCAATTAGAAAAAAGTTTGACTCCTTCATGTATTACAAAATGTCTTCACTACAAAGTGTTTAAACTTTTATTATTGTATTTATCACATTGTATTAAGAGTCAAGAGTGGGGTGACCATACATCCCGGCTTTATGCCTGTTGTCCTGAGGTAGCATCTGGTTTAGCACTTTAGCACTCTCCAAAGTGTCCTGGTTTAGACAATAAACTCTGTAGTCCCCCAATTATGAGGCAGGTGCCTGGCTGGAGAGGCAGAGGAGCGCTGGGGTGGTCCTAAGCTGAGTGTGGGCCTGTTTGACATATTGGTGAGGCCGGTGACCAGCCATGCCTGGCTGATTTGCACATAGAGAAAGGCTTTGAGGAGAAACTTCGACACAGCAGGCCAAAAGAGTCAGTTAGGAAGGCTCCACAGGGAAACAGCTCCTCTTCCCATCTCACAAGAACACAGCATATTCTAAGGTGGTTAAGACTGCAGAGAGCAGCACCATTTTGGTTTTTCTAGGATTGTGATTTTAAGTATATTAAGAGACAGCACTCTGATGAAGAAATCGAAGGCAATGAAACACATCACAGAAGATGTTTTGTAACCTAAACCTCAGTGAGGTGTGAAAGCAGCTAACCCAGAATTTCTAAGGCCTCTGAGAAAGAATCAGGGCCAGTGGGTGACACAGGGAAGTGGAAGTTGAATTTGTTTGTCACTTAATTGTCACTGTAAGATTTCAGTTTTGAATACCTGAATTATAGTATCAGTTATAGTCTGTTAACTGAAAAGAATATTTTGGCCTGTTTTAAAATTAAAGTTTATTTATTTATTTTGGCACTGGAGATTGAACTCATAGTACATGCTCCCAGTCCTATACCATAGCTATACATCCAGTCCTGTACATAGCTGATACATAAAGACATAAAAATTAAACAAGCTAATGGTGTGCCCAATATTTCTATATGTGTATATGAGGTATCATTAAAAATATAATAAATATTTAAATTTTAAAAATTTATCTCCCTCAAAATATTCTCTCTTTTTGAACAGTTATCTCTTCATTCTTGCCAGTTTCATAAGTAGTTCTGGAAGTCTTTTCTCATGCTTTTGGCTACACTATTGTGGCTGCCTCTATGTCTTGAATTGATTCAAAGCATTTACTTTTCATAGTGATTTTGACACTGGGGATGATCTCGAAATCTTATGGTAGCAGCTACCGCAAGTAAGGTAGATGAGGACACACCATAATATTTTTACAAGCCTGCTTTTCCATTGGATGGCATATGGCAGTGGCATTCACTGTATTTTTGATTACACCTTGTAAAGACATTCTCTTTTTTTTTTTTTTTTTTTGTACTGGGGATCAAACTCAAGACCTTGTACTTGCCAGGCAGGCACTGTGCCACTGAGCTAAATCCCTGGCCCGTAAGACATTTTTGGAAGAGGAGTTCCAGAACTTTTTCAGAAAGTAGAAAGATTGATAGGATAAGTGTGTTCAAAGCAAGGGGGAGTATTTTGAGGGGGATTAGTGGCAATGTGTCTTTTACCATAATACCTTTAAAAAATTAACCACATGCCATATTTTTCAATCAAACTTTGTACATTGTATAATATTTATGTCAGCATGAATATATCTATCTCCTCAAACATTTATCATTTATGGTGAAAATATTCACTATCCTTTCTTCAAGCTTGTTGAAGCATACAGTACATTATAATTATCTGTAGTCACCAAGAATATTTGAGGAGTTCAGCACCTCATTCACTGGCAAATACATGGAATGGCAAGAGGAAACTTTCTGAACAGAGTAATTTGGCTATTTAGTTTTAAATTTTTATTGTGAAAGATTCTGTAAATTGAGACAGAGTGGTCTCTTTTTATATCCATGGCATGTCACTAAAGTATTTTGATATTTTGGAACATTTAGTTTGAGAACTCTTGTCAAAATCAGTTTGTTCAACAAATATTTATCTAGATTCTATTTTTTGCCATGCATTATGCTAAGTGCTCACAACTATGCCAATATATGCAACTTTTCTCATAATTCTACCATTTCTATGCCGAGGACTCTCAAAATATTGCCTTAACGTTCTTCTCCCATCTCAGCACATTACACTTAAAAAGTAACTACTGAGTATCTTACATAAGTGCCTTCGCTATATTTTAACAGACACTTCCTCTCCACTCCATCAAACACGGCCTTTAGCTGAATTTGCTGGAAGGCAACACCGTCAGACTATTTGGAGTCATTGTATACTTTTCTTTTTATGTCTGACAGCTAGCAGTGGGGCAAGACTGCTTACTTCAAAAGTGTCTCTCAAATCTTTCCTCCGTCACTTCCACCCCAATGGACTGCTTAAGTGCAGATTTCCATCACATTTCATTTGCAAAATTACAAATACACAGTTACAAATCTTCATTGATTACCTTATACTACGTTCTATTGCACTTTTATTTTATATTTTAGAATGGCATTAGAAAGATCTTCAGAAAACAGATCAGAATGATACATTTCTTCTTGAAAACCTCCAAGTGTCTGCAAAAATCAAGTGCCAACTCTATTTCAACCTCTTCTTTCTGCAACTTATATTTTTCAGGCTTTTCTTTCACTAAATTGTTGCTAACACTTTACCCTCCACTTCTAACAGATTATTCACTACTCAATGACTTGTACTTCTGTTTCCATGACTTTGATCATCTGTCCAGATATTGAAGTAACACATTTTGTTCTGCTTTTCCCTAAGTTAGTAACATACACAAAGTACGTGGGAAAGTGTCTCTCCTGGCCTTATAAATGGTTACGTGATTCTTCAAATGTCATTTTATTCCTATAAACTTCTAAAGAACTATGCTGACATGAAGTGTCATAGAACTGGATGTGATTATGATTGCTTTCCATTCACCGACGCCCTTGAAAACAGGGAACAGTTTTCTTCTTTCTTGTATCTTATTTCCTTGCACAAAAAGGACTACCTTTAAATGCTGCTTTGAATATTTAAATTAAAAATTTACTAGAATATGAAAAATAGTGTCCTAAAGTTTTGGCCGTGTTATAGGTACTTGGAGGCTAGTGGCCTTGACTATGTATAGCAGAATTTGAGTACGTGCTAATGACCCTAGGTTTTGTGTATAATGTGATAGGCTATTATTAAAACTGTAATACGTTCATTTAATAAGTGGAAGTATTAGAAACATTCTGAGTCAAGGAAAAGAGAAACTGGTGAGGGGAAGAGTAAAACAGTGTTCTACTTAACAGAGTAAAATAAAAAGAAATACGGAAGCAAATGTTGGTAGTATCTAGAAGAAAGTGATTTTAGCAGTCAAAGTTTCAATGTGTGAAATTATTTCTACTTAGAAAAGCACTGGTTATTATAGTCTGACAAAGTATGAAGCATTTGATTCAGGTTAACTCCCTTTCTCTGATTCCAGGGTCACCAATCAACTTACGGTGTAGGTGAGGTGGTAAAGTGAAAGAAGGCTCTGACCAGTAGGTTTTCACTATAATACTCCCATGTTCTGTATTTAAAATAAATGTCACCAAAAATACATTTGCTTGAGATGTGTTCTCAAGCAAATTTCTGAGGCTGACAACCAGTCCCAGAATCCATGCAAATCCATCATGGTGATAAGCGCCCTCATGGGACAGCTGTTACATTGCACTGGATCTCACCTAGTACAGTTCGAGCCTGGACCCACTCAAGGGTGCTTGTGTGTGTGTTTGTCTCTCTGACAGTGGGCATAGTCTTTTTTGAACAAACATTCTAGAAAATATTGTGTTCTTCTTGTTCCAAGACCAACTATTGCCTACATTAGATTTTGGAGGCCATTTTTAGGGGTAGAATACATAATGCAACAACTAAATTGCAATAATGTTAAAACATACACATTGAAAATAGGGTATATGAATTTTGAGAATTTTAAAAACACAGTAAAGTATTTGATAGCCTCAGGATTGAGAACAATATCTATTTTGAAGAAACTCATTGCAGGGCAATGTGATAGGTGACAGATGTATTGGTAATCATCTCCTTTTACGGTCTTCTCAATAAGAACAGCATCCTTGCTAAACTTTTCTAGGCCACACTTGTAGATATTCACTAGAGGTGTTGCTCTGGTAGGTCTCTCTCCTTGGTAACTAATGTATATCATCTACACAACTCGGAAGATATAACAATCCAATACTGTTCAACATAAATCACTCTGCTCATTTTTTTGTTACTAAAAATTGACAAGTGTATATTATGCTAAATTTCTATAAAAGGAGTTTTCCAATGTCTGTTATATTCTCAAGTCCTTTCTGTGACGTTCTCACTAGAAGAAACTCCTTTTGCCTGAACTTTTTGAAAGATTTTTAAATAAGATGATAAGCATTGATATTATATCGGTATTGGTAATTGGTATAAATACAAATAACAATCTGTTCAATGTTACTGTAATTCAGTATTGATGTTTATTTCATATTGGTAACTCACACGCAGTGTTTAATTAGTGTGGGCACATTTGTTTAATTAATTTTAAGTTAAATACAAATACTGAACACAATAATTTGTATAATACCAAATAAAATACCAATACTAGGGCAAAAAATTTGTATTGCACTTATAGTACTACCTAACAACAAGCCATATTCAGCAATCTGGTTTTAGATAATCGTGTCATTTTTAAATATTTACACGAGTAAGTAAAAAAGGGTTTATTAAATCAGAGACTATAACCTTATCACTTAAAGTAAAAATTTGACTACAAAACTAGGTCATGCTTATAGTTTTAACAAAAGTTTTCAAAAATGATAAATGATTTTACTTTTCAAATACTTTAAGTTAAAAAGAAAAAGAGGAACTTGAGATTCTAAAATTCCTTGTTTTTTATTTTAAGACAAATTAGGGAAGAGGGAGGGACATTAGTAAAGATTTTGTCTTCAAATAATTTCCTTTGGAAAATGTCAACAACTTAAATATTCAGAAAGTGATTAACTACTTGCAAAGAGACTGAAAACAATATCTTAGGTATGTGCGTCCCCAAACATGCATATTTCTGATTTAGACTTTTAAGCTGTCAATACCAGAGAGACAATGCCATTGACGTGTACCTGGCACGAGTCCCTCCAGTTAATTTTCTCCCTGGAGAGTGGTTTTGGGCGACAGAGTGGCGTCCAGGCTTCCCAGGTTGTTCCCCTGACAAACTGCAGTAGTGGTAAAGTCAAGGAGCCTGACAAAATCTCATTAATCATTTTAAATTAATTCCAACCTTCCTGTCTAACCATTCCAAGGAGAAAGCTTTTCTTTCATTTTTTTTTTTTAAACAAATGAGAATTTCTTCAGTAGAGATTTGGTATCTTTCTCTTGTTGGTCTTTAATTCAATTAGACAAAAATAAAATAAAACAATCTACTTTTCTAAGCTTGGAAACAAAACATTTGTCTAAATATAAGTTAACAGTTTAACCAAATGCCTTTTAAAAATATAACAAATTTTGAATAAAAATATATAAAAACATTTTGAGTGGAGTCTGTACCAGGTACATTAGAAACACTGTCATCCTATTTTTTAATAGTTCAATAAATTTATTTTGTTCTAAGATATATTATTCTTAAAAAGATTTAAAACAGGTATTTTAAAAATACATTGTAACATTTTGGTATGTTTTATTGCAGTCTCTCCTTCCCATTCATAGGTTTTTGCTTCGTTTTATATGGTAATTATACGTATGTATGTACATGTTTGTAATTTCTGTTAATATGTATCTAAAAGAAATATTTTCCAGTGTTATTCATTGATTTCATGGCTTCATAGTAATAGGTCATGAGAATATATTTTGGTCTTTCTGACCAGTTCTAGTTTAGCGCCTGGTACAGAGTACATACACAAATACAGTATGTGATGGTTCTTGGAGCTTTCCTTAAGTTTTAGGCATTCCAAGTGTTTCCATCTTTTTTTGTTTTAATGATGTGATAAAAGGTGTGCATACTGCCTTTTCTTGTATCAGATTATTCCCTTATGATGGTATTCTGGAATATATTCACTTATGAATACTTGGAAAGAGCATGCAGCTGTGTTAATAGTGGGAAGTTGTATTAATAGTGATATTTAAGAAAAATTTCTCTTAGGCATTGAAAAATATTTTAATTAGAATGAATATTTTAAACATGAGGATTTCTGAATAAGCCTACTGCCACTGAACACTATAATCAATGATATTCATAATATTGCTAAAATTTAAAACAACAGGTGACGAGATCAACTACCTATTCTTTAAGTTAAAAATAGTAGACAAACTTAAAGTAGCAGTGATTCATCCAGGTAGTTAAAATTAGCAGTCCTGGAGAGATGAATTTATGTCTAGAATAATACATAGGTTGAACCTGTCTTAATATTTTTAAAAGTTAATATAATCTGATTTGTAAATTGTGGACACCTAAAGTATCTGAGTGTATGTTGTAAAGGTGGTAGTAGTAAAGCCGCTTTTCTAAACGCTTATATAGAAACTGAGAAAGAGCCAAAATAATTCTTTTGTTAGAGTGAACTATCAAATTCATTCATTTTTTGGAATTTATCAAGAAACTGTTCTGGGCCAGTGGCCTATGTTAGGTTCTGAGGAAGACACAAGAATTAAACTTCCACCTACAAGACTTGATAAAGTTGTCATAGTAGGAATAGAATTGGAGGACAAATACTATTTCAAAATATGAGGATTTTAAATATGAGGAAGGAGTTAACAGATTTCCAGAAGAGAAAACAGACTAAAAGGATAAACACAGATGACTCATTAAGATCAGGTGCTGTTAGTTTCAACAAAATGTACTCAACAAAAATCCTGTCGATGACAAATTTAGAGGAAGCTCTAAGTTTTTAAGGATTTTCTTTTTGCTTCACCTTTTCTTTCTTCCCTTTCTTTTCTTTCCTTCTTTCTCATTTCCTTCCCCTCCCTCCATTCTTTTCTCCTTCCTTCCTATTCTTGTTCCCATTTCTCTTTCCCTTCCTCTTTTCCCTTCTTTCCTTCCTTCCTCCCTCTCCTTCTTCTTCCTTCCCTCCCTTGCCCTCCCTCCTTTCCTTCCTTTCTTCTCTTTTAAAATATGATTTGTGTATTAGAAACCCTTCTTGGTTATTCTACAGGAATGCACACTATAGGTACAGTTGGGGACATTCTGGGCTAGAAACAACACAGCCCTTATTGGGGAAGGTGTAGACAGGCTTAAGCATCCTGTGGGGTTCAACAGAGCTTAGATTACACATTGAATGAATATTTGTCTAGCGACGAATATAAAAGCCATTAGCAGTACTGTGATTTTCTAGCCTTAAAGAACTCAGCCCTGGGTGGAAAAAGTTGACTCAAGAAGGATGAATATAGAGGGGAAAAACTTACTTGGGCTGCAGTTAATGTAAAGCTCAGCATCTTTTGCCAGCTAGGCAAGTGCTGTTCCACAGAGCCACACCTCCAGCCCTTGGCATCCTTCCTAACACTTTTCTGCTGTAGCTTGTGGGATGTCATTATTTTCTAGTCCTTCTAAAGTTTTGGTGAATCCTCTTCTGACTCCATTTTCCCTACTAAAAGCTAAAATGCTGTGGTTCCCAATTGTTTCTTCTTACTCTACATTCTCCCTAGAGGAGCTGTTTCCTTCTGTCTCACTTAGTATACTTTACTAATATGACCAACTTGCATATCCAGCTCCACGAAGTTCTAACTCTAGTCCTATTCTCCAGCTGTAGTGAATAGTCTAGGGGATTGAGAATTGGAGGGGGCAGGGAGGGATGGAAAGGGAAGGGACAAAAAGAGAATTAAGATGTGTTACACACACGTTGTTCAAATCCCCCACAATAAATGTAATCATTATGCATTGTAAACATATACTAAAAAATAAATGATAAAAAAGAAAAAAATGAATACTCTAATATCTTGAAATTCAAAATATGCTAAAATTGGGATCCCTAGTTTTTCACTCACCTGTTGTTCTCTTAGTAGCTACCTTTGATAATAGGACTACCAATTGCTCATAATAGAAAACTTTTTGCCAAATCCTCAGTGCTATCAATTTTCAGGATTTTGAAAATCATTCCTCCTCTCTATACCCTCTGCCATTTCCCTAGGTCAGGCCTTAAAATAGAACCTGTCAGGCTGGGTACAGTCTGACATTAACAAAGTCACACCTGATGAAAAATTTGGACTTGTCTAAAATTATAAATATTGTAAGAAGATATGTACAAAGTGCCATAGTTTACAAAGACAGAAGAAATGAACACGAGTGGTATGTTTGATACATTCTGAAAGCTTTGATAAAGACATTTGAGGTAGATCTCAGGTGAGTAAGGGAAATTTAGATACAAAACAAGAAAAAGTGGATATCAGAAAAAAAAGCTTATAAAAGGCAAAGAACAGATCCCACTTGAGGAATATTGTTGAAGCTTTAAAGATAAGCTGAGGCTAGGTTTGGAAAGATCTTATATACCAGGATAATTCTGTAAAGCAAAAGGAAATGCTGAAGTGTCATCAGGAGATTTATGTTGTAGAAAGATACAATTATGAAATCTGAAAGATCAAATATTTCCAAACTTCAGATGATCTGTCTCTCCAGCAGACACCTGGAAATATGTTGGGGCCATTATTTGTGCAGCACAATGACTCAGGGATGCTCCTAGCATGTAAGAGGCAAAATCGGCATCCTTATATCCTACATTATATGGGACAGTACATACAGTACATTAATTCTTCCAGTAATGAAGAATATATTTCCCCCAAAGTTGGTGGGACTACTACTGGGAAATACTAAATTCTTATTTACTAAATGATTATTATTAATATGTTTATTATTGTGATTTTTGATAGTACATGTTAAACATTTCTACTCATCTAGTTTTAAAAATAACGAGGGATAAATCCCTATTCAATAATCTTAAAAAGGAGAGTAGTGCTCAGTTGGAGAGGTTCTAGCTTTCAGATCATTTCCCCAAGAGATAAAACTACAAACTGGAAAAAATTTACAAATCAACCAGTGGAAAGAGGTGGAAAATGACCTTTGGGTTGGCAGGCTGATCCAACAGAGAGAATGCTTGGAAGAAGAGGATAGCATCGGTTGAGCTTCCCATTTTTATAGATTTTAGTTTGCATCATGTGGAGCCTGTGGTTTCATTAACTTGATGAATTACAGGATAGAGTTTGGCATAATGATAGCTACCAAAAACATGCAGAGGGAAATCCTGAGTAAAGAACCAGTGAGAGAGATGCAAATCCTGTGCATTAACTTTGCCCAAAATTCTGGCTGGTCTCTGGAGTGTGCATGAACAGAACAGATTCCAAGGGAAGCAGCCTGGTCAAAGAACTGAACTGAAATTGGAGCTGACACCAACTGTAGGTCAGCAAGAGTATGCAATTGGGAGTTTAACTAAGTTAACTGTCAGCTTTAAATTAATGTCATTGCTATTTTTTATCTTTGGAAAATTAGTCTGAAGGTTAAAAATTGTAATTACTTTGCCAGTGTGGCGGTGCATGCCTATAATCCCAGCACTTGCGAGGCTGAGGCAGGAGGATCACCATAAATTCAAGGCCAGCCTGGACTGCATAGTGAGTTCACGGCCAGCTTAAACTACAGAGTGAGATTCTGTCCCAAAAAACAAACAAAACATTATAATTATTTTGTCATGAAATTCAATATTATGCATATGTGAAAATTATTTAGGTATCTGCTTCAGAATCTAGAAATTATTTCCTAGTAGTTAAAACATCCCTCTGATATTAAAAATATATTCAATTACCTTAGGTTTTGTCATTGAAAAAAATGTAGTATTAACTGTACAGTTGTAAAATTAACAACCTCTGCTGACTTAGAGTCAGATTTGGAAGAAAACCAGGCACCAGTACCCAGCAAAGGGCGTAAGTAGCATGTGGAAGGCCCTCAATAGAGATGTACTGAATGAATGAAGAGTATATACTATCTGTTACACTACTCCCTTCAGTGGACTCTGAACATAGATCATCAAGATTAGGAAAATAGTCATTTGACAAATGAACTCAGATATAAGCAATCAAAGATTTACCAGAGTTCTAATACTATTTTATTCTGTTTTTGTAAGTGTAAATCTTAAATTGTAACACACTTTAAAAAAATCCTAAATGGCTTAAAGGACTTACCAAGACTTGACTAACCTGAAAGTTTTTAAAATGAAGAATCAAATGATAAATTTATATTATACAAATAAATGCTGGGTTTGCATAGCAATATAGTAATAAATAAACACTATTCTCAAAGTTCAAAGAGAAGGAAAGCTGGTATTGGTTTCTATCTGAAGTCAGATCCAACTTTTACAGACAACATTTTCTGATTTGAATCAAATAAATTTCAGAACTCAGTTTGAGAGAAAAGGAAACATTTTAGTTAAAATCTTTACAATAAAATAATTATGATTATAAATCTCTTTAGTTAAATATGTACACAATCCATTGTATTTTTAAAAAATGGAAATGGATAAAGTTTTTCAGGCAAATCTAATGCACAAATACACCATCTTACAGAGTATAATGTATGTCAGTTTAACATTCTTAACAGCTGGGTTAGATAATGGCTCGGCTTTGTGCAAAACATAATAAGCAAAATTAGGAAAAGTCCTGCAAAATTATTTAGTTTCCCCGGGAAATTACTAAAAAAGGAAAGAATGAAAGGAAAAGAAGTTGTATACTCAAGCTTGATTGTATACAGAGGCTAGAATGACCAACATGGATGTAACTCCACATCTGCTAGTAAGTCCTTGGATAGCTTTAGTCTGAAGTAAAAAGTTGAAGTCCTAGCAATTGTGCCTTTTATGCAGCCACATGGCCAATAAGGTAGATGTTGTCATAAAGGTGCCCTACAAAATCTTCACTAATGTTTTGAGCAGCACGACGGGTATTTCGAATAAATTCTCTTTTTGACATTTTATTCTTCACATGAGGGCTAGTGAGGTCAATGGAAAGTAGAATCAAAGAATAGCACAGTACATAGACAGCATCTGGAAAGAAAAAGAAACACTTGAAATTATGACCTACTTTAAAAGATATCCCAAAAGTGTTTATATTGGGCAAAAATGTTCATAATTTTAAGATATCAAGATTAGTTTATAACTAAAAATAGGATGACCAACACATTCTAATTTGCCTAAACTTTTTCTAATTTAGTGCTGACAGTCTTGTGTCTTGGAAAATTCTTCAGTACTGGGCAAAGTGGGACAGTTATCATTTCATCTGAATGCCAATTCAGTGAGCATTATCTTTAATTCAAAAGAATTTTAGACGAGATCAGGCACATTCAGAGTGGTATGGCTGTAGACTCCAAAATAATTTTACAATGGCTTAGTAGTTTATAGTGAAAATTCATTTTAGATTTAAAAATTTTAGAATTTGCTTTATTTCATTTTCTTCAATGAATGGTTTAGGAGTTCACTGTGAAAATTCATGCTGGATTTAAAAATTTCAGAATTTTCTTTATTTTATTTTTGCTTTCAAATATGCTATTTACACTGAATTAGCACTAAAACAAAATGTAAAAGATTTTAAAGATTATTAGATAAATATTTTCATTTGATATTTATTTTAAAAGTCTATGGAATTTACACCTGAATTTCAAGAGTAAATCTTTAGGGAAAAGATTCCTAGACCTAACTAAGCACCATGCATCAATAAAATTTTCTTCTTTACCTAAATTTAGGGCAAATAGGTGATTAACATTACAATGGTAACAAATTTTATGCTACTTGCTACTACTTATATTTCAGAATTCTGCAGTCTTAAGAAAGCTAAGTTAAACATTATATCCTATAAAGGAGGTTTAGCAAATTTAATATGATATATAAACGTCTTATAATCTCTGCTTAAAAAGATATGTTCAGAACATTTTTTGACATGAAGAAATAAGTAAAGCTGAATCAAGTGAAAAAATATGTAGGAGACTCAGGCAGGATCACATACACCCATACACAGATATATACATATGCAAAATATACATACGCACACACAATGAAAGCTAATTGTATTAAAAAATTTTAGTAGAAAACCACTGTTTTCTATGAAATGTGTAGATTCAAGTTTTAAAAGTAATTTTTCAAGTTTTCAATTAGACAAGTAAAAATATTCAGCACTCAAATAAGAATAATGTTAAATAATTTACATAGGTATGTCCAACTTTCTTCATAAAAGTTTATTATATATAAATTACAGCCGTGACTAAAGGTCCTTCTAAGATCACATAAATGAAGTATTCCCTAAATGTATTAACTGTTACTATATTAAAAGAAGTATTTTTAATTAGTAGAAACATTTTTATCCATGGTGAGAAAAGTTTTTCACAAGAGACTTGGTTTTTTTTTTTTGTTGGTGCCGGGGATCAAACTCAGGACCTTGTGGTTGCGAGCCAGGTGGCGGCACCACTGAGCTAAATCCCTGGCCCACAAGAGACTTGTTTTCACATGAAAGGGGCAGGAGATGGGGTAGGAATGTTAAAAAATATATATATATATCATACATATATCATATATATGCATAAATATATATACATAAGCATACTTACCAGGACTAAGGCCAAGTTCTCGCATTAAATCAGGATTGCAAGCACAGAACCTATGTGAGAACTTTGTTATAAGAGTTTCAAGATACTCTCCACGCTCTTCAGGGGCATGGATATGACGAAAGAATTCTCTCAGTGCATTTGGTAAGAACTGATTTCGAAAATTATGCAGTGTTACAAGGTCATCCAAGACATCTCTCCTACAGAAAGAGAAAAGATTACAGCTTTAGTTACCTTTATTAAAAATGATAAAATCGGGGCGGGTGATTTAGCTCAGTGGCACCGCGTCTGCCTGGCAAACGCAAGGTTGTGAGTTCAATCCCTGATACCAAAAAAGAAAAAAGAAAAAAAAAAAAAAGAAAAAAATATGTTAAAAAAAAATGATAAAATCGTAATCTGTCATATTGTGGATAAAAATGTTTGATTATCAGCTCAGACAATCCTATAAAAGTATATATTCTTAAATTTAAAAATAAATATTATTTTAAAAAATAGTTTGAATTCATTCATGAATAAGTCACAATAAAACATAGAAAAGTGCAATGAATACTTATAAAATAAAGAAATTACTACAACTTATAAAATAAAGAAAAACTTTCAGTAATAAAAATTTTTCAAGTGTTTTCCTGGCTAACTCCAATAGTAGTAGAAATTCTTTCTTTTTTAGCACTAGAATTCTTTACTTTTCAAATTATAAAAGTTAAGAGATTCTTCATGTACCACATCAAGCCACATTTCTAAAGGTAACAACTATATAGATTTTTAAAAATCTTATAATGCTTATATATACATATATTGTTTTAGAATCTGGCTTTGCTTTTTCACATAGTTTATTGTACACGGTTTTTTGTTTGTTTATTTGGGGTTTTTTGCTTTGTTTTTTTTGGTACCGGGATTGAACTCAGGTCCTTGCACTTGCAAGGCAGGCGGCTGAACCACTGAGCTAAATCCCAGCCCTTATTTGTTTTTGAGGCAGGGTCTTACTATGTTGCTACAGCTGGCCTTAAAATCATGATCCTCCTGGTTCAGCATCCCTGAGTAGAGGGATTATAGAAACATAGATCTATCACATTCTTTTTAATGGCTCCTTACAGGGAAACAATCTTATTTTTATATACTTAGGTTATTTGTAGCTATACAAATATTTGTATAAACATGTCCTACATTATTTGTAATCAATAGCATTCTAATAGATAGTCATGCTATCTTTTAATTCTTATTGAACTCATCTACAATTATACGATTATATGACCAGTTACTGGGAGATGCCCAGTCGCCTGATGAGGGGACAGCAGGGGATGAAAGAATAATATACAAAGAACAAGGAACAGAGAATAATGAACAATAGTTTATTACTTCTAGGGGGTCAGGCATTGATCTTTAGCTCTTTCCTGGCTAAAGATCACCTGATCTTAGCTCTGTCATGGCTAAGACCATGAGCTCTGCATTAGTCAGTATTTATGATTATACAACATAGCAAGGGGCATGAAGGTAGATGTAGGGAAGAGCAGAACTAATGCACTTAATGAGCCAGGCTTGGAAAAAGAGGAGTAACTATGCACACTTGTGAAGGACAGGTCACAATTAACAAGGCACATGTGCTATCTTGCAGGTCATAGCTAACAAGCCACCTGCATTATCTTAGCTAACGTTTGATCTTGGAGAATGGCTGCACAGTCATAATTCTGCAGTTGCACTGTTTCTTTACTATTAGAGACATCACAACCTCATGGATCACTGAGACCTCAATTGTGACCATTGGAATAGGGAAGTCTATCTCCAAACACCAGCTGAAAGGTCAATTAGTAATTCACATTTAGGCCTTGGAGTTACTCACAATCTTAATCAATAGCTGGATTCATAAGCCAAGTCAATAATATCTAAAGCCTGCTCAGTGCAGTTTCAAGCTGTTCTTCTGCAATGTGGCTTGCTGCCTATTTTTGTAAATAGTTTTATTAGAACACAATCACATTTATATGCTTATAAACTATCTGGGTCTGCTTTTACAACACAATCAGAGAGTTATAAGTAGTTTCAACAATGATCACAAAGTCAGCAATGCCTAAACCAAATTATAGAAAGATCTGGTTCTAAAAAAAAAAAAAACCCTGACAGTCTCTAGGTACCTAGCTAGTATTTAAAGATTAAAAAGTGTTAATGACATCTTTATGTAAGGGACTGCTTTCAATGACCGGTAGGCTAGACTGTAAACTCTTCAAAACAAGGATTATACCTTATTCATGTGCGAACCTCTACTTTCTAGCAGTTTCTGTATTAGCATAAAAATTTACAGATTGGTGTTGAAACAGTCCTGAGGAACCAAAAGGACTGAGAATCCCAATGTAAGGCAAGCACATTTTTGAGACATACATTAGTATTAGATATAGTTTTTAAATGATAGTTTAGCTGTATTACATCAATATATTCCAATACTTTATGTTCATTAATAACCAGTCTAAAGGAGTACAAGTGAAGGATTAGGAAATGAGAATAGCATACTAACCATCACCTCTGTGTAAAATATACTACTGTAACATTTTCAGAATTTTCAAACATACACGTAATACTTCAGTGTATTATGCTACACAAATATTTATACATCCTTACACCCATAAGTTTTGTGTTTATGATTATAATGTCTTTATAGTAGACTTTTATTTATACAATTTCCGAATCTAGAACTTCTAGTTACTTAGATTATGCCTAGTTATAAAGAAAAAGTCAGGGTTTCTGGTTCCACAAATATATTTGACTTTGGTTACCATTACAAAGATTCTGGACTACCATTTGGTGTATGTTCAGGGGCTTTGTTTACTTTTATAGTTGTAACTTTCTTTAGCAAGTTAAAGCTCACAAAATAATGTACAAGATACAGTACCTTTTTTTCTGTGGTTACTCAACTTTTCAATTAGATAAGTGCTATGTAGAATAGTTTTAAAAATAAAATTTAATTAAAAAATAAAATTTAATTATTCAAAAGAATCATTTAACTAATTTATGATGAAAACTTAAGCTTTTTTTTTTTTTTACCTTTCATCAAGATAGATTCTCAGTTTTTTCCAATTTAGCGTTCTTGTACAGAAGATAAACTTTGCTATTTCCTTTGGCGAATCATCTAGGATGCCCTTGGACATGAAGTAGTTTACCCCCTAAGGCAGAAAGACAAGTCTATGTAAATAAAGTCAGCCTTTATTTATAAATCGTAACAATTAAGCAATAGCAGAACCATAGCTATAAATTCTTTCCAGCATCACTAGACTTTTTATAGCTTTATCATGCAAAATACAAGCTAGAACCTGAACTGAAACTATTATTTGTGGTTGACAGTTTACATGCAATGAAAAGTAGGAAATTCAAAGTTAAGATTCCTAAAGATATTTTAATTTAATTTTCTGGCTCATGTCAGGTAAAACTAACTAAACAGAAATATGGCCTAATTTGGGAGAGGATGTGGAAGAAACCACAATACAGACTATAAAATAAGCCTTGTAACAAACACTTCCCCTGCTTAAAGGAAATATGATTTCTTAAAGCTTAGATGCATATTGTAGATGCATGTTTTTGAGAAAAAAATAATATTCTTCAAATGAAAGATTAACAATTTTATTCTGAAAAGAAAAGTAATTAAAGTAGGCTAAGCTTGAGGCTGGTTCATAGGTCTTACTACTTTGGCTTTAAGCATCACTATATTTTACAAGGATCTAGCTATAATATAAACCAAAGCAAAACATAATAAGACAAAATAGTTTCAATATTGTTCATAGGATTTATCTTTGAATTTCCTTTTCTCTGCATGCAAAGTTTTTCAGAGAAGCATTACCCAGTTTGTATCTACCTAAGATTTAAATCAACACCAACAAAACATCAACAAAAAAGTCAAATGCTGAAACCAGTGCTATCTCACATATAAGGAGGTCACATTCAAATAAATGTCTTGGGTGGATTTGAATGTGCAGTTATTGAAATAAAAGGCAGGTGTGTTTATTTCAACTTGCAATTATCCAGATACATGCATTTTCATGAATGCTTATGTCTGGACACTAGCACAATGTGTGCAGTTAATTGGTAGAGAAAATGACGTCTTGTATACACACAACACACTGTTTTCACACATAAATTCCTTCATCTCTTCAGCATTCTTTACAAACACATAATATTCAGAAATATTGCACATATTAGAATTCAAAAAATTGAAAAAATTTCTATAAAAGACTCAGAAAAATTTTCTCATAAAATGTTTATATTAAAAAATTTAAACAGCAATTTGATAAAATGAGGTAATGGTTTTGAAGTTAAAATTGTAAATTGTAGTTAAAAGAGAAGACTTTTATAAAAAACTAATGTGTGAGGTATAAGAAAAATACCTTAATAACAATGCTAATTTCTAATGTGAATTTTCATAGTACAAAGACAATTTAGCTAGGCACTGGCTTAAAAAATGTACATAAAAAGCCAGAGTGAAACTTTCCAATCAACTCAATTGTAAGCTACATGTCACTGAATCCTGGATACAAGGGTTAGAAAATGTAATAAAAGCAAGACAGAAAGCCAAAAATTTTTTTTGGAATGAAGCTGTGAGAGATTGTCTTGGGTTGGGAGGGACCACTACAGAAATAGTAAAGCTTGTTCCATCCTTTCATCCATTAGTTTGAATAATCGAGAGTTGACTGTATATTTAATTAATCTGCTTAGCAAAAGTCAATTCAGTTTTGTTTCCAAAATTCTTCAGAGTAAAAGAATAACACTATTTTAAAATTATTTCCACTGTTTAATTGAAATGACTAAGACAAAGAAATGTAAACTAAGCAATATTTGGTAATTCTTTATTCATACCTAAATCATCATTTAAGAGATATAAAACTAATCCTAATCTACTTTTTAAACATTAAGCAAACCCAGTAATATGATCCAGTGAGTGGGATATAATTCTCTAATGACACATGGTATTTTAATATTATTTGATGCCTACTTAGTTCTAAAGTAATCTTTGTATTCATTTCATGTAAAAATATACTGTTGGCTGTTCCCTTTTTTATGGAATACCTTTTGAGAACTTAAATATCTAACCTGACTTCTCTAAAAATCAATCAGATATACTATATAGGAATAAGCACACCCACAAAGAATTTTAAATCAAATCCTGAAAATTGGGAACAATCCTGAAATAAGCCAACTCTGTTGGTTTTATGAGGAAAGTCTGAGATTTCTCTAGCAAAGATTACTTTAGAAGGGCTATCAAAGTGAATGGTAAAAGAATGACAGATAGGAAAAAGCATGGAGCCACTTCGCAATTGGCTCTAATATGCAAGCTGGCAACCACCTGAATTCCTATCTTTTTATGTAATAATGAAATACAAAAATATACTGCAGCATCAGTTGTGTCGATTACTCATGTTTACTTAATAAGTGGTTTAAGTATTTTGTTTTTTAATAAAGATTTAGAAGAATGATACAGAGAAATATCTAGGCCACAGAGAACCTAATGATCAGTCAAGACAAACTCTCAGCTGTGTGTGTGCTTGTCTGTGTATACTCGTGCATCTATTTGGTCTCTCACAGGCAAAGGAAATTATAAGGATTGATATTAGTCTATATTAATATAAATATATTTTCCAGTAGAAGAAAAGTTGCAGATTGGTATAGTACACATGATATGATCCACTATTAAGTATCTACTATTGAAAATCACATTTTATGAGGCATATTGACAAACTAAAAGCTATCTGGATAAAGGAATCAGCACCTATTGGGATTTTGTTGAATGGTGTAAAATTCATGTTATATAAGGAGGAGTTGAGAGATGTAGTGGTATTAAAGAAGAAAATATTTATCAAAGAAGGTAATATTTAAAAAAGAAGAAAAGATCTGAAGGATTGTGTGTCTTATGGCATTAGTGAAGATCTTAAGTTCTTTTTTGGGCCTTGGACCCCTTTGAGTATGGTGAAAACTCTGTGAAACTCCTTGTAATTATAGTATATGCATACAGCATTTAAACATTTTTACTTTATTTTGTGTATGCATTTTAAAAATAGAAATTGAATGCCTAAAGCCTATCAAAGGACTGCAGGTTAGGAATCTATTGTAGATGTGTGTGGGAGGATAATCAGTGAGTGTCAGTTACAGGTAGGCAAGTCAGTGCTACATAAGAAAATCCATGCTTGTAATATAGCTGAGTTGTTCAAAAGTCAAAAGTTTGCCATTTATTTTATTTTTTTCCATTTCCAAAGTAAACTTAAGCTTCAAACTTACTATTTAATTTGTTTATATACATTTAATTCCTTTATGTAAATTCAATTCTGTTCAACTTTAAGACTTATTTAAATTGTTGTAGTCACATCGTAGTTTCTTTTTCACATGTGGGGAGAATTCCAAGACATTCTTGTCAAATAATTGTGAGCTAAATCATGATGGTGTCTGTTGGTCCTATGATGGGTTGGCTCTATAGCATAATGATAAGCTCTCATTAGCTGACATATAACTATTGGCCAAAATAGGTGCCCTAAACAAATGGCCCTGGTATGAAATAGTTATATGGCCTCATTTTTCCTTGGAAAATATATGTGGGTGTTTTAGAAATCAAAACAAATTAAAATTTCTACATTTTCATTAAAATATATTAAACACAGGTACTATATGTCACGTATTTAATAACTGACAGTAGTATAAGACACAATTTTGCCCTAAAAAAATTTTAAAGTTTATTTGTGCTGATGAGACAGTTACAGAAATAACTAGAATAATAACTAGAATATACTAGAATCAATTATACATGGTAGTTGAATATGGCCTAAATGAATGAGTACTAAAAATAAATGTTTTAATAGTTCAATGAAAGGAAAATTGCTATGAGATTTTTGGATAAAGTTTGAAAAAATGATAGGAGTTTCGATAGCTCAGAGTGAGGGGAACACTGGAGAACGTTTCAGTTAATATTGTATTATATAAGTAAAAGCAATATAAAATAAAAAGGTAATTTTGGGGAAAGAGGGAGATACCTCCGGTTTGAGAATAAGTCTGGAACTACACTGCAGTAGAAGTAGCATTGAATTTTTTTTCCATTAAGTTTATTGGTACATTTTAGGTATACAATACAGTTACATTCATCATTGGGATCTTGTACCCTTACATGATGTACCTTGGTTCTTATTTTTTTCCATTCCCCTGCCCTCCCTTCACCCCCTCTACCCTTCCCTATTTGCAAAGGCTTTGTTTCCATTTTTTTTCCTTTTCTCATATTTTTTCTTTTCCCTTCTTTCCTTTCCCCTACCCCTCCCACTTCCCTTGCTCTTTTAGACCTTTTCTTCCTATTATACAACATCAATTATACATTGTTTTACTTACAATATCAAAATTTAGAGGACATTACCACAGATTTTACAGAATTTAAAAGGATATAGAAAGCATATTACAAAAGTCTTTTTTGAAATAAATTTGAAACTTCTAAGAAGTACCTTGGAAGACAAATTAATGAAACTAACTCTGGAGGAAATATCAAATTTGAATAGCACCTATTAAAGAAAGTATATTCCTAGCTTGAAAACCTACCTATATGACGACAACAGGCTCATAAACATTTTAACTGATAAATTATATCAAACATTTACAGTAGAAAAAAAAGGAATCTCCCTCATTTTAGGTAATCAACATTGTGCTAATCCTAAAACTGGATAAAGATAATAGAAGAAAAAAGTATGAACATAGATAGAAATTTGTTTAACAAAACAAACTATTAGAAATCAGATCTGGCAGTATGTAGAAAATGGTTTTATTATAGGGATGGCAGTGTTGGTTCAGCATTGGAAGATCCACTTCCAGAAGTCATCATTTTAACAGAGGAAAGGAAAAAGCCATATGATCCTGTCAGTTGCAGAAAAAGTATTGGACTAAATTCTACAGAGTAGCATTGAATTTTAAAGTAAGATTTTTATTCTTTATCCATATACAATTGCAAGCATTTGTAGGCCTTTTTAAAATGATGAAGCAATAGCCTGCAGTGTCAACCTGACAGTACAATATTCTTTCCTTATTCATGGTTTTGCTGTGTCTTTTCAGTTATGCACATTCAACTGTGATCCAAAAATACTATATGAAAAAATTCCAGAAATAATGCATATGTTTAAAATTGTGCACCATTCTAAGTAGCATGATA